ATTCAAGATTGAAAAAGAAACATTTTTTTTTAAGTAATGAAAGAGTTTGAGAACTTGAGGACTTGCTCCGAGTTCTGCACTTGATTTATAGTTTGTGATGATCAGCTCATAGGATGTGAGAGCATTGATCTGTATTCCATACTTGATCTACAAGCACGTAGTGCTCCGCTCATAGAATTTGACAAAGTGCCCCGCAATCTACACTTGATCTGCAAGCTTCCCCGTCGTGGTCTTCAATTAATAAGATTTATCGGAGCTCTGCACTGGTCTTAATCTTCCTTTCCTGTCTCTTGGAGTTGACCTGGATTTCTTGGACTTCAAAGGTGGGTTCAATACAGAGCTAACTCTCCTTGTATTTTGTAGCTTTGTTGATGGCATGGGCCTTGAGGTTCTTCGCCTGAGCTGCTTGCATGCCTTCGTGTAAAATCTTGCACGCCAGAAACAGCTCTGTGTTGCAAGGTTTGTTCCCCTTTAGCAACAGTGCTTCCTTGCTTCACGTCACGAGACGGGAGGGCCTCCTTGCTTCCGGGCCTTCAAGTAACAACCCGCGTTGCAAGGTTTGTACCCCTTTAGCAACGGTGCTTCCTTCCTTCCCAGGACGAGTGTTGCCGGGAAGGCCTCCTTCCTGGTTGCCGCTGCGTTGCAAGGTTTGTAACCCCTTAGCAACGGTACTCCGATCCTGGTCCTTCACGAATAACTCTGTGTTGCAAGGTTTGTTCCCCTTTAGCAACGGTGCTTCCTTGCTTCACGTCACGACACGGGAGGACCTCCTTGCTTCCAGGCCTTCAAGTAACAACCCGCGTTGCAAGGTCTGTACCCCTTCAGCAATGATGTTTCCTTCCTTCCCAGGATGAGTGTTGCCGGGAAGACCTCCTTCCTGGCTGCCGTTTGCGTTGCAAGGTTTGTAACCCCTTAGCAACGGTACTCCTGGGCCTTCACGAACAGCTCCGCGTTGCAAGGTTTGTACCCTTTTAGCCACGATACTTCCAGGACCTCGAGTAACAGCTCTACGTTGCAAAGTCTATGCCCCTTTGACTACAGTGCTTCATCATTGTGCCAGTGGACGGTTCTGGGACATGGAGGTCAGCCACGTATGGCTCTCCCTCGACGACACTTCTCCTCAACTTTTGTAGCCTTAGCCTCAGATGTTCCACAGCATCAGGGGTCGGTTCTACTCGTTCGTGTCAAGCGCGGAGCTGAACTCGCGCAGAAGACTCTGCAACCCTCTTCCGTGTGTGAGGTCGAGATTTAGCATGGCGTCCATCCGGGAAGGCTGTCCGCATGCCTGGTCGACGAGAGTGATATGACAAGTCGTCCTTCCTGGCTACCATAGCTGCCCAACTTGGCGGGACACATACTCCTTTCAAGATCCGTCTATGCTAGAACATCTTCGCTAGTATGCCTCCCGGGGAGCCAGCCGTCTACCCGGTCGACGGGAGTGACGAGACGAATTGTTCCCTCCTTCCCGGAACGAGCGTTACCGGGAGGGCCTCCTTGTTGGCTGCTCAACATGCATAGAAGACCCCGCAATCCCCTCGCGTTCGTGAGGTCGGGATTCAGCATGGCGTCCATTCGGGAAGGCTGTCCACCTACCCAGTCGATGAGAGTGATGAGATGAGCCGTCCCCTGCTTCCCGGGACAATCGTCACCGGGAGGGCCTCCTTCCTGGCTACCATGGCTGCTCAGCTCAACTTGTTGGGACACATGCTCCCTTTGGGATTCGTCTATGCTAGTACGTCTGTGTTGATACGTCTCCTGGGGGATCAAGCTAGCCTACCCGGTCGACGGGAGTGATGAGACGAATCGTTCCCTCCTTCCCGGAATGAGTGTTCCCGGGAGGTCCTCCTTCCCAGGACGAGTGTTACCAGGAGGGCCTACTTCCTGGCTGCTCTACTTGCCGGGACACATACTCCCTTCGGGATCCATCATGTTCTAAACGTACAAGCATCCGGGAAGGTGTATCTAGCGTGATCTTCCTGTCATCTCCCTCTTAAATCCGTCATGCTCCGAGCATACAAGCATGGTGTAAAGGCATAGCGTGCGGCACCGAGCATACAACATATGGGATGACAGCTCCGAACGTGTATGATAGGCGACTTCTCATCCTTACTAACTTGCGATTGAGTTAATTTTCCCAATTCTTTAGATCTGCCACGTCAATCTATATAAAAGAAAATCAAAATCAAAAAAAATAAATAAAAAGGCTCGGTCAATTGGGAGCTTTGTAAGATCAGGTTAGGATTTCTTAGGCCAATTTTGACCGGGTCAAAATTCTCCAATCTCCCTGGTTCCTGCTTCCTCACGCCTCCAGTATACCAAATGCATCATCGCTAGAGCCTTTGTTCCCAAAATAGAGGCCCCGCCTTTGGTGAGCAATCATCTCCTCCATCCAGCCTGGTACCATTCGACATTCCGGTTGAGGCTTCGCTGGAGGAAAGTCGGACGGGCATCCCTGGTTCTGGTCGGTGATGGTTGGAGAGGACGGCTACTCGGCAGTTACTCGGGTTGTGGAGTGATGACAACACCCATTGATCCAGGCTCGCAGGGACCGTCGTAGGGACAACGAAGAAGGAACCCCTGGCCTTGAATTTGCCTCCCCTGACCTCAAGCGGCCATTAATGGAGGACGTTGAGGTGGGGTTCGAGCAGCGACTGCCGGCCGGCAAGGCGGGTGGCGAGAGATAGCCGGCTGTGTCGGGGAGCGGATCACCAGGCGAGCGACAACAGCGACGTTGCTACGACGGTCGTCAGACCGGGTTAGCCATGGCTTCTTCCTCCCAACAGTAGGGTTCCGATGAGATGCGTTATGCCTTCTCTGGTTGACCAATTCTTCTGACCTGTGAGTTCATATTTGACCATGAAAGTTCCATAACTAGAAAATTACAAATCCAAATCTAGCTAGAAATCGTCATTTTTTATGTCAATTTTCTGATTTCGGAAATTGTGATGGGTTTCTTGTATGGCTTGATTGCTGCTCGAATCTTTGGATAGTTCCTACCGAAAATTATGAGAGATAGCTCTCAATGAAAGCACCAATGTTGGTAGAAAATAACCCGGGTAGAGAAACTAGCAGCATTTTAGTATAGTGAGAAAAACATAGAGAATACATGAGGGGTGATGGCCTATTTATAGGCATCCACCACAAGTCCAAAAGTCTAATCTACGTGGGCTTGGCCCAAATACATAATACATGTCCAAGCTAATGGGCGAACCGGCCCAATAAATAAGTAAATGAGCAAGGGGCGATTCCCGCTCGTGAGACTGCGTCTTGGGCCTAGTTGGGCCAAATCTCGGGGATAACGGGCCGATGGCACTGGGCTTGACATATTATCCCAACAGTGGGAAAGTTGGAACATTGACCACGGATCGAAAGTCGCAACTGCTGTTGGAGGTTACAGCTCCTGCGTGCTGGCCTGGAATTATGGTGCCCATGTGTACAAGGTCTATCACCGTTGTACCAACTGAATCACCGTGACTTACAATCTCCTAATGTCTTGTCGGGTCGGAACATATGGACCTTGGGGTTGAGGATTCAAACTTAAAATGAAGGGAACATCGAATTGGATGGAGCTGTGATCCGACCTGAAAAAATCTTAGTATAAATGAGTTGTACACAAAGTGTACACAAAACACATTTAGTTGTTTGTGTACACAGACAATACGTTTGAAAATTAACAAGATTTGATGTAAAAAACGCTCTAGTTGTCTATGTACACAGACAACTCGTATACACTTTTTGTGTACACCAAGAATGACTCATCCCAGTTGTAATTAGGGCTGTTAACGAGCCGAGACGAGCCCGAACACCCAGAGCTCGGGCTAGGTTCGATTCTTTAATAGGGGTGTTCGGGGTCGAGCTCAAAGCTCAGCGAGCTTTACAAATGAGGCTCGTGTTTGGCTCGATAGGCGTTCGATGCTCAAACCGAGTGCTCGATAAGCTCGATAAATATGTTTAATTTTAAATTTTAGGTGATGCTCATTAAAAGGCTCGTGCTCGAATTATTCGACAAGTATTCGGTTCGTTAATAGTCATATTAAAATTCATAACAGCATACTAATTATATTTAAATTATGACATATATAAAAATTATATTTATATTTTAAGGGTGTTCGATAGTAATTTATATAAACTACTATGTTCGAGCTCGGCTCGATTAATTTTTTGAACTCGGTTCGAGTTTGAAAGCTCGTTAAGCTCGATTCGTTATGGTCGAAACCATGCTCGAACTCGAATAGTTCCATAAAAGTTCGATTTTTTAACGGCCCTAGCTTTAATGGAATCATCCCGTACTAGAGTTGGTGCAGGGAGGAAGTCATAGATAACTAGATAAGCAAGGGGGAATTTGATTTTGCACCCCACTTTTTGGGTGATATTAGACTTTGCATCCCATTTTGAAAAAACTATAATTCTGCACCCCATTCCACTTAAAATTCCTTTGACTTTGCATCCCATTTAGAAATTTTTCTTCACAAAATGGTATGTGTTAGGGTGCAAAATCAAAATTTTTTTAAAATGGAATGCAAAATTCAATGTCACAAAAAAGTGGGGCGCAAAGTAAAATTAAGAGTCAACAAAACAAAAGAGGAGAGCTAGCTTTAACTGGAGTGCAATTTTGTACACCCCCACTAAGGAGGGTGAACATAACCCCCTTTGCTCTATGATTGCCATGTGGCATTCCATCCCATTTTTTCTTTAAAATGTTATAATATTTTTATTTGTAGTCTATTTTTTATAAAAAAAACATATCAGATTTTTTAGTTTTTAATGATCTTTCCAATGGTATCAATTTTGTATATATAAAAATTTGAAAAAAAATCATTTATTTCCAAATATCAATTTTTAGTTGATTTTTTTTAAAATTTTATTACTAGTATATGCAATATTAGTACCATATGAAAGATCGTAAAAAAAGAAAAATTTTGATATACTTTTTTTTTTAAAATTAATTAAAAAAGAAAAAGATAAAACAATTGTCAAATTGTAAAGTGACAAATAGGGGTGGGTGAACATAACCCTCTCAAACGAAATTGTTCGTTTAACTGGGGTATCTGGTCATGTCAGTCGTTTCATCGCCCTTCGACCTCGAACTAACTACCATGGCGATGCCATACGCGATGCACATTCTACTGCTCGTATCAACTCTCTTTCTCTCATCCCAGTCGATCAGCGACACTAATCACGTATACTCGCCTTGTTCTGATGCAAAGGTACAGAGGTCCGACGGGTTCACCTTCGGAGTTGCATTTGCCCCCAGAAACGCCACCTTCGCCATCAACAACAGAAACGCCGTTCAGCTCTCCCCCTGCGATACTCGCCTTTCTCTCGCCGGAAACGCCCAGTTCGCTGTTTTCCGACCCAAAGTTGACGAGATCTCGCTCCTCACAATCAACACCTCGAACTTCTTTCCGGTAAAGAAATTTAAGACTTGTTCATATGTGCATGTTCGTCTATATAGATATGATATTTGACAAATTGTTGTTGTAGTTACTTTCAGGAGTAGATGGTATTTGGGTGTGGAGTTAGATCCGTTAATTAATATTCCATAGGGCTAGCCGTACTTATATTTGGGGCTACTACTAAGAAATCAATCTCTGAAAAGTTCCATTTTAGGCCAATAGTTCCATCACTTCCATGTTGAGAAGGGAAGAGAGGAATTAGGTTTTCTTTAGGTTTAGGTTTCTAAATTCTAATTTAACTGCCCAAGCTCTTTGAACAATTCACAAAGAATAAACAAAAAGAAGGTAGTTTTGGGTGGAGTGAATTGGAGAGCAAAAAATAAATAATTTTAATTCTACCTTAGTCTGGGAAACCTCAAAATATGCAGTCAGCATCTAATGAGAAATATATAATAAGCTTCTCAATGGAATTGGAAACTATAACTAAAATCCAAAAGGCTAAAGGCCAAGCTCTAGTTCATCCTTACTTTATCAGATCAGCTGCACATACTAAATCAACTGTAAGGTGCCTTTAACACTTCCTTTCTAACTGCCATCTAGCTATGTCATTTTGCTCCCAAATCACTCTGCATCTTGTCATTTGCATGTTGATCTGTTTCAAAATTTCAAGCTAAATCAGTTTTACTGTTTGTAACTCCAAGGGAATGAGAATGTGGCTACTTATATTCAATTCCTCAGGCTCATGCAAGTCATCTTAATATAGTTCCTCCCCCTCATTAGTACTCCCTCCGTCCCAATAAAAACTTCCAACTTTGACTTGGCATGCATATTAAGGAAGTGGAATAAAGTGGAAATGTATGGTAGTTGTTGTGTAAGAAAAAGGTGAAATGAATGTGAGCCACACAAATTGTCCAAAAATGGTAAGTTGGAAGATTTTTTTGGGATGCCCAAAAAGGAAAGTTGGAAGAATTTTATGGGACGGAGGGAGTAATTAATAGGACCCGTCAATTTCTTTTCATGTAAAGAACAAATGTATGGCAGTACAGATTTGTCATCCACACGTATGAATTGTCATCCAGTTAGTGCATGTCATTGAACCAGTAGCTGATTGAATTAGTGGACAGCTAATAAGAAAAGACTGTGTTAGCGATATTGACTTTAACTCTTAAAATTTTGTGCTAAGTCATTAATTAAAGTCTAAAGTGAAGTTTTGAGTCAAGTTCAAGTTTCACTGAAGTTGAATTTGTTAAACTTAGGTCAATCATGTAATGATCTGGGAACATGACACACTGTTAAGTGAAACATTAATATAACATAAAAGGAAGGAGTTGAAAATTTGCTTGACGTCCTCTAACTTCATCAATCATCACACTCTTTCATATCCATATCTGTAGGTTAAAAACCCTTATATAGATGAGGCTTGCAAGACATCCCTTTGAGCATATATTCCTCTAGCTTGATGGGCAATGTTGAATATCTCAATGTAGCGCACTTCTTGCCCAGTTATCAACGTACAACCCAACTAGCTTTTTACATTGGTTATCTCTGTGCACACTGTTGTAAATGTGAAAAAAATCCGTAGTAGAATAATTGCAATCCAAACTTCTATTGCTCAACACCTTCCACCCTGCATCTACGGTTTTTTCTGTGATCTTTGCTTGTTTTTTGTTATTAAATTCGTTTGTCATGATACTTAAGTAATGTCTGTATTAATTAAATGAACAACAGGATACCTATGGTGGGTATATGGTGGCATTTGCTGGTCGGAAATACGCTGCTAGGTCTATCCCTGCTTTTGTTGCAAATGGTACCTACATTGTGACAAGCTTTACATTGGTAAGGAGTACATAATGCATCATTTCACACGAAACGAAGTATATTATCTTCAAAGTAGCTATGGCCTTTTTGGTAAGGGTTATTGGCTGAAATTTCCTGAAAAATATTATGAAAGAGATAAGTGATTGTTAACATCCATTTTAGCCAAAGTTCCTTGTTTTGCTGATAAGTAGAATAAATAGAATAAGCCGATTATGACTACCCAACGCAGCCATAATGTCTGTTTAACAGCTAAAGCAATGACATTTTGTGAGAGCCAGGTTCTTGAATTCAAAAAGGGCAGGCTGCAAAACCTTTACTGGAAAAGGGACGGTTGTGCATCATGCAAACATGCCTCATCAAACTTTGCATGCCTCAATGGTCAAGATTGTGCTATGAAGGTCAATGCATGCAAAAACAGAGGTGGCAATGTGGACTGTAGCCTTGGGATACAAGTTGCATTTTCTGGGACTGATGAGCACAATTCAGTTTTCAACTCATGGTACGAAGTGAAGAACCTTCGCCAGTACTCACTCTATAGCGTGTATTCCAATCTGAGAGATTCTCTCACCAGTCAATACAACAAATTATTTTGATTTGGTGCCTTGTATATTTATGCTTTTCTTTGCCTTGTTTCTTTGTTCTGTTCAAATTTGAATACATCATCCTTGTGTGTGCTGAACTGCTGATGATGATGGACGTTTGGATGGCCTTTCGAAGTGTACTACTACGGACCACTGTAAATGCCTTTGATGCGTCCTATAGGAGGGTCTAAGATACACTCCACCCATTTGCGAAAATTTATTTCCTTTTAATTTTACCCTTTGGCTTTCATCATTCCTTTTAATCCCTTGTGTTCCAACTCGGGTCTTTCATACCTGTACCACTACTATATATTGCTAAATGTTAGTATTGCCGATAAATACTCACTGATCAGAGGTGGAAATATGCCAAACGGCTTGTCAGGGACTAGAGACCACGTCTAGCACTCTAGCCTAACAAGCTGACATGTGTATATGATGCCTATAAGACTGAAGTACTAGTAGCATATATGTAATTTGTAAACATGAATGACATGATGTGTCAATAACTTATGAGCCTGTTAGGAATTATTAAAGCAAATTATGATTTAATGTGTCCTAACTCCTAAACACCATACAGTCAAAAATGTATATTACTACGTATCTTATTGTTTAATGATCATGATAATCACTATAGTGTGTTTAGACATGATATTCTTTTTGTAACGATCTTCAGATCAAACCAAATCATATACTACGTATATCCGTCCCACTTAAAGCATAGTCGAACTAGGTCTATTTCCACCCTTACCAGTTACCACCGACCGACCACTACCACAAACGACCACTACTAGTGTCTACTACCATCACCTAGTGGTGGACTCGGGTCGGGCCGCCCGGCCCGTGAACCGGCCTGGTCCGGTCATTCGGTTCGGGTACTGGCTTCGACCCGACCCGGTGGGCTAAGCAGGAGCGGGCTTGGGTGTATATATTGGCGACCCGGCCCGGTTGGGTCTGGGCCCGGTTCCGGCCAAAATGTTCTTTTTTTGGTTTTTTTAGTTTTTTTGTTTCCCCCGGGTTGGGCGGGGTGTTTGGGGGGGGGGGGTGAGGGGGGTCAGGGGTAGTTAGGAAAGCAAAAAGAAAATTATAAACCGGTCCGAGGCCCGACCCGGCCAGAACCGGACCCGGTAGAAACCTGGGCCGGTCCCGGGCCTTCCCCCAACCACAAAAAGTCCAGCCGGGCCTAGGCCCGACCCGGACCCGAGGCCATGCCTGCCATCATCATGGGTGGCCACCGTTAATCTTGACAACTTCAAACACCACGACAGGCATTTATATGAATCACCACCAATCACTATGGTCGTCCAATATTGGCCCTCATCCAGTATCAAGACAAACCATTTATATTACCATCAACCATAATTGTTGTCAATCAACATCGTAATAGGCCTTTGATAATTAGCATTGACCATCGTAGTTTGTGTTGAGGATTTGTAGCCGGCCTATGTAAATCATTTTGATACATATGTTAGAAAAATAGTATAAATAATGCGAGTTCAGTCAGATAAAATCCCGAGTTTAATCACAAATCACCAGACAAACCACCAAATGCAAGAACAAATAAAATAATAACAACAATTAGATATAAAATATTAATGTAAAAAGTAAAGAAAGAAAGACTTAGCGTAAGATCGTCCGTTAACCGGACTGGCCTTGAAGAAAGATAGCCCCCGTATCTCGATAGCTACTCGAACGGGACTGGCCAACTCGCTCCCAGGATAATCCTACACCGTTTCAGACTTGTAGCTACCTTGACTGAAACCTTCGACCGTTGCCCAATATGCCGTAGACTCGTTAAGTAGATAAAAACTTTATGAGGATGCTATGGATTTAATATGCTCTCGGTACAAGGGTAAAATCAGTGAAAGAAAAAAAAATGAAGCCTTTTCTATTCTTCTCAGTGCTCTGTATTGCGTAAGTAAGCAAAAATGAATCGGAGTGTAGACTGGCTTTTATTCATACGTATGTGTATTAACCGAGAGCATGCATGTGGATAGATTTTTAAATTTGGAAATCAAAATAAAATATATCAATTTGAGTGCGGTCCTATCAATTTGCATCCACCATCCAAGAAATTAGGATCACAAACAATATTGACCAAGCTCACACCTCATTAGGGATGGACCCGGGCCGGGCCGGTTCCGGTTCCGGGCCGGGCCCGGGCGGGCTTTTTTTCGGGTTACATGGGCCCGGAACCGGCCCGGGTTGATACCGGGTCCGGGCCTAACCGGGCCGGGCCGGGCCGGGCCCGGTTCAATGTTTTTTTTTTTTTTTTTTTTTTTGACTTTCTTGTTATCTCCCTACCCCCCCCCCCCTCACCCCCACGCCCCAAACCTCCCTAAAACACCCAGCCCTACCCTAGGAAAAGAAAAAAAATTGAAAAAACCAAAAAAAAAAAAAAAATGAACCGGGCCCGGCCCGAACCGCCCGGGCCGGTTCAACAAAAACAGGGCCCGGAACCGGCCCGCCCGACCCGCCAAAACGGGCTAAAAGCCCGGAACCGGCCAACCGGGCCCGGTCCGGTCCGGGCCCGCACAGTAGCGGGCCGGTCCGGTTCCGGGCCGGTTCGGCCCGGCCCAGTCCATCCCTACACCTCATACATCGGACACTCACTTCAAAATTTCAATTTTGAAACTTCCGAAATATGTTTAATAGCCACATGCGTATTTATCATTATAAAATGATAAATAAAACATAATTTGAACATTTGTTCTAAAATTAGATAGGCCACTAGCTTGAAATTACATCCCAGACATTCTTATTCCGTACTCATTTAATTTTATCTGTACGAATAAGTGATTCTCATAGGATAATTTCTAAGCCACTTTATATGATACTTGAATAACGTTCCTTTATCATATAACATCTAAAGAAGACCAATCATTTTATAAATAGAACAAAAATTCTCAATACATCACTTTTACAATCTTTACAACTATGGATTTTAATCATTAAATGATATAAATCCAAACGTAAAAAATTGTTCTTTGATGTATAATAAGCCACACTCAATTCATATTTTATACATATTATTTTAGAACTCTAAGAGAACTAAAAACAATAACATTTATATCATCATTTTTCCAACAATCCCCCACAAATCCATAGTTGTAGACTAGACTCTAACAGACATAGTGTGCTTTCGAATATGGTACCTTCCGGTTTGAACCAACTTCTAAGCTTTTATCCCTAACCCCCACAGGAACTGAGTGAACAGAGTTCTTGAACTCGAACCTTGATAGTGTTGGCGTGGGATAAAAGCAACACACTAATGGCAATGGCAACGATCTATAGGGTTGACGCTTTACGGCCGTGCGTCCCGATCCTGTCTCAAGAATGTCATCGAGAATTAACCCCTATTCTCTTATTGCGGCCACACAATAACATTCTCATAGTTGGGCATCTCCAAGAGTGCATTGCTAACACTCTGCTATTAATTAAAGCTCGATCCCATTCAGAGTCTTAAACTCTTACTTACTTAGCAATTTCAGCATCTCTCAGGCTTATCAAGGAATAGAACTCATTAAATATTTTAATGAGATGCACAATTCACTCTACAGTTTGTTTATACCACATTGAACCTACTTTGTGGGATCTCCACTCAGATAGGTTGGGTTGCTACCGTAGTTGAATAATTGTTGGGTTTCAGTCCCATTCCTAACCTGGATTTTATCACTTGATTTAAATCAAGTCCTTTTGTTAAAGGGTCCGCTGTATTATCTTTGGATCCAACAAAATCAACAGCAAACACCCCTTGAGACACAAATTTCCTTATAGTTTTTAATCTAACTTGAATGTGTCTCCTAGTCTTTTGATTATACTTGGTACTCCTAATTTTTGTAATTGTGCTCATACTATCACAATGCAAACAAATAGGTGGAATTGGCTTGCTGAATATAGGTAACTCAGACATTAGTCCCATAAACCATTCAGCCATAATTCCAGTAGTATCCAACGCACACAATTCAGCCTCAAAAGTAGACCGAGAAAGTATTGTTTGTTTAGTGGACTTCCAGGCAACGGCCCCACCACCAAACGTAAACACATAACCGGTACATCCATAACTCCCGGAGTTCTTAGCTATCCAGCTTGCATCACTATATCCCTCAAGAACAGGAGGATATTTACCGTAATGCAAACACAAGGAAATAGTTCCTTTTAAGTATCTAAATACTCTATCTAAGGCTTCCCAATGAGTTCTATTCGGACAACAAGTGTACCGACTTAACTTAGACACTGAAAATGCAATATCAGGTCTAGTACAGTTAGCTAAGTAACCCAAGCTACCAATCATCTGAGAATATCTTAATTGAGACACAGGAACACCACTTTCATTTTTATACAAAGCTACTGAAGGATCATAGGGTGTTTTAGCAATTCTACTATTTTTAAATCCAAATTTCTCAATTAATTTTTCAATATAATGCGACTGAGAAATAGAAATTCCTTCAGTTGATCTAGTCAACTTTAGTCCAAGAATTACTTCGGCCACCCCCATATCCTTCATTTCAAACTTTGTTTTCAAAAATGATTTAGTCTCAAAAATAATATTATCATTAGTGCCAAATAATAATATATCATCAACATATAGGCATAAAATAATACTAACATCACCTTTACATTTATAATAAACACTTTGATCAGCATCTATAAGGGTAAATCCAAACGAAAGAATTATTTTATCAAATTTTTCGTTCCATTGCTTAGGGGCTTGCTTAAGTCCATATAAAGACTTAACTAATTTACAAACTTTTCTCTCATTGCCTTTTGCCACAAATCCTTCAGGCTGGTCCATATAAATTTCTTCTTCAAGGTCACCATGAAGAAAGGCTGTCTTAACATCCATTTGATGAATTTTAAGACCATATACGGAGGCCATTGCTATAAGCATTCTAATTGTGGTCATTCTTGCAACCGGAGCATATGTATCGAAAAAATCAATACCTTCTTTTTGTTTGTAACCCTTAGCAACTAATCTGGCCTTATATTTATCAATGGTTCCATCTGGTTTTAATTTCTTCTTAAAAATCCATTTACATCCAATAGTAGTACACCCGGGAGGAAGATCAACAAGCTCCCATGTTCCATTTTGAACAATGGAGTCCATTTCACTTTTAATGGCATCCTTCCAATGCATGGCTTCGGAAGTAGCCATTGCATCTTTAAAGGAAACTGGATCACCCTCAATATTGTAAGTGATAAAATCACTTCCAAATTCCTTAGTGATCCTAGCCCGTTTGCTTCTTCTAGGCTCATCTAGTTCATTTGATTCAAAACTAGCGAGACTAGTACTACTAGATTCTACCCCCACATTTGTCATCTTTTCCACTTGATCAGGAATTGAATTAAATGTGGTTTCTTGATTTTTAAAAGAAATATTTTGGAGAACACCCGTTTTCATTGGGAAAACATTTTCAAAGAAAGTAGCATCACGAAGTTCTATAATAGTATTAACATCTATGCCAGAAATTTCAGATTTAATAACCAAAAATCTCAATGCATAAGAATGTTCAACATAACCAATAAAAATAGCATCAACAGTTTTAGGCCCAAGTTTCTTTCTTTTGTGTTCAGGGACTAATACTTTTGCAAGACAGCCCCACACTTTAAAATATTTTAAACTTGGTTTTCTGCCTATCAAGAGTTCAAATGGACACTTGTCTTTATGTTTCATGGGAATCCTGTTCAGAATATGGCAGGCCGTATTCAAGGCTTCCCCCCACATAAACCTAGGTAATCCAGAATTCTCTAATAAACTGTTAATCATATCTTTAAAGGTTCTATTTTTCCGTTCAGCTACTCCATTTGATTGTGGTGAATAAGGAGGTGTTTCTTCATGTACTATACCATATTTTTGGCATTCTAGTACAACTAAATTAGAAGTGTACTCTCCTCCCCTATCAGATCTTAACCTTTTAATTTTCTTGCCGGTTTGATTCTCTATTTCATTCTTAAAAATTAAGAATTTTTCAAGAGCTTCATCTTTACCCTTAAGTAGATACACATAACAGTATTTAGAATAATCATCAATAAAAGTGATAAAGTATTTCTTCTTGTCACGAGTCAACACTCCATTAAACTCACAAATGTCGGTATGAATTAAATCAAGTAATTCAGAATTTCTATCAATTGAATGATATGGTTTTCTTACTTGTTTTGTAGTAGCACATACCATACATTTCTTAGTTTTATCAATAGAGTGTTTAGGAATTAAATTTAAATTCATCATTCTTTTTACTGAATCTAAATTAACGTGACCCAAACGATAATGCCATAAAGTTGAAGAATCACAATTCTCAGATACATAATTTAATTCAAAATAATCAACCACAATCTTAAAAAGTCCATCCGACAAGTAACCCTTGCCAATAAAAAGTCCACCAAATAAAATTACAACTTTATTAAATTTAAAAGATAACTCATAACCCTCCCTAACTAGAATGGAACCACTAACAATGTTCCTTCTAATTTCGGGAACGTGATGCACTCCATGCAAAGTAAGTATTTTTCCCGAAGGAAATTTTATTTCTACTTTTCCAACTCCATGCACACTAGCAGCACTTGTGTTTCCCATCATCACTGTTCTTCCAACCGCAGGCTGATAAGAAACAAAGAGCGATTTATCAGCACATACATGCACATTCGCTCCTGTATCTATTAGCCACTCATTGGAATTATATATAGTGAAAACTTGAGGGTTAATAGAAACATACCCATCGGAACTAGTTCCTCCAGTCACCACGTTGACTTGAGGTCCACCAGATTGAGCCTTAGCCTTTTTATTTGGGCATAATTTGGCCCAATGCCCCATCTGTCCACAGTTCCAGCATGGCCGGTTTGCCTTTGGTTTCTTTGCAATTTTTAATTTGGCCTTTATTGGTTTAAAAGATGATGGTTGTTTATTTTTAGAATTTTGTGACTGCTTTCCCCCGGTTACAACATGAGCCTTTGGCTGAAATTCAACAGGCACAATATAACCCGCTTTCTTATGTTCTTCCTCAACAGTAATGGAATGCATCAAACTTTTCCAAGTTATCTTTTTCATTTTGTGTTTTAAAGTCAAACCAAAATCTTCCCACGATTTGGGGAATTTTTCAATTACAGCCATGACTTTAAATTTTTCAGGCAATTCCATATCTGCTTCACGGAGAGAATGTAAGATAAGCTCAAATTCTTGTGTTTGTTCTAAAACAGATTTTCCCTCTTTCATGTCGAATCTCAAGAATTTGGAAACAATATACTTTTCTAGACCGTGGTCATCAGTATTATATTTCCTATCCAACTCATCCCAAAGGTCTTTAGCCGTGCCGTGGAGGGTGCAATAGACATCAAATAACATGTCGGAGAGTCCCAACAATATCATTCCTTTGGCTATTTCATTCCTCTCACGCCATAAAGTTTGGCGTTCAAGACTTTTGGGATCAGACTCGACAATGGGGGGACACACCGTCATAATTACCGAGAGCAATCCCTTGGTGATTAACCAAATTTTCATGCGTTGTTGCCAACGCTTGAAAAAATGCCCGGAAAATTTTTCAGGCATTCCCGTCAAATCAACCCTGTGAGAGCCCGTAGCAACAAATTCAGGTGTGTCACCAGAATTAGTCACAAACACAGAATTAACATTATTTTCAGGGGTTTCATTCACATTATTCTCAACAACAACGTTTTCAGAAGTAGCAGCATTTTCCAAGTTCGTCATATTGGATTTTCAAAACTCGAGAAATAATATCTTTCTTCAAGATTGTTAGAAAAATAGTATAAATAATGCGAGTTCAGTCAGATAAAATCCCGAGTTTAATCACAAATCACCAGACAAACCACCAAATGCAAGAACAAATAAAATAATAACAACAATTAGATATAAAATATTAATGTAAAAAGTAAAGAAAGAAAGACTTAGCGTAAGATCGTCCGTTAACCGGACTGGCCTTGAAGAAAGATAGCCCCCGTATCTCGATAGCTACTCGAACGGGACTGGCCAACTCGCTCCCAGGATAATCCTACACCGTTTCAGACTTGTAGCTACCTTGACTGAAACCTTCGACCGTTGCCCAATATGCCGTAGACTCGTTAAGTAGATAAAAACTTTATGAGGATGCTATGGATTTAATATGCTCTCGGTACAAGGGTAAAATCAGTGAAAGAAAAAAAAATGAAGCCTTTTCTATTCTTCTCAGTGCTCTGTATTGCGTAAGTAAGCAAAAATGAATCGGAGTGTAGACTGGCTTTTATTCATACGTATGTGTATTAACCGAGAGCATGCATGTGGATAGATTTTTAAATTTGGAAATCAAAATAAAATATATCAATTTGAGTGCGGTCCTATCAATTTGCATCCACCATCCAAGAAATTAGGATCACAAACAATATTGACCAAGCTCACACCTCATACATCGGACACTCACTTCAAAATTTCAATTTTGAAACTTCCGAAATATGTTTAATAGCCACATGCGTATTTATCATTATAAAATGATAAATAAAACATAATTTGAACATTTGTTCTAAAATTAGATAGGCCACTAGCTTGAAATTACATCCCAGACATTCTTATTCCGTACTCATTTAATTTTATCTGTACGAATAAGTGATTCTCATAGGATAATTTCTAAGCCACTTTATATGATACTTGAATAACGTTCCTTTATCATATAACATCTAAAGAAGACCAATCATTTTATAAATAGAACAAAAATTCTCAATACATCACTTTTACAATCTTTACAACTATGGATTTTAATCATTAAATGATATAAATCCAAACGTAAAAAATTGTTCTTTGATGTATAATAAGCCACACTCAATTCATATTTTATACATATTATTTTAGAACTCTAAGAGAACTAAAAACAATAACATTTATATCATCATTTTTCCAACAACATAAACATGTGTGGATTGAAAATAAATGTTGATAAGAAAGTTTTAGATAACTAAATACGAGTAATAAAAACAGGAAATGACAAATTAGAAAGTGGTGAGCAAAAAGTTAAAAAAAATGAAAAGAAAAGAAAGTGGCCTTTACTTGCACTGCTACTTTGACTATACACAAACAATTCATATAAAAAATGAAAAACGCAGAAATTATCTTTGACAAATATGTTACATTACTTGCATGTATACAAAAAAGAGTTATGTTAATGTCCGGAATTTCATGACAGGAACGCCGTCCGGCCTCCGCCTTTTGGGGCGGTTCCGGTGGTTTTTTTTGATAAAGTTTTTTTTATATGTTCTTCATCAAGTCTAGTTTATCCATACCAAATTTCAAATAAAAATTCAACTGGGAAGGTAGTCAAATGATTTTTGGAAGTTAATTGTGCCCATTATATACATATAAAACGCAGTCAACTTCCAAAAATCATTTTATTACCTTCCCGATTGAATGTTTAGATAAAATTTGGTATGAATAAACTAGACTTGATGAAGAACATACAACAAAAAATTCATCAAAAAATACCATCGAAAAGTGCCCCTAAACGGCGGAGGCCGGACGGGATCCGGTCAGGAAATTCCGAATAGGAATATTTCTCAAAACTTACTTCATTTGTAGCGTAAATTGGGCCTAGTGGGGCGGGAGGGATTATAATAATCAGTAGGGTGGGTGCGGTCCGGTCCAATATTTGGCCGAACCCGTACCCGTACCGTTACTATTCAAACTGTTCGGTTCGGTTCGGTCTTAGACCTAAACCCATTCGATACGGTTCCATTTTAAAACGGGACAGTATCATGCCATATCAATATCAAACAATGTCACTTTTTTCAAGTGTTTAAGGGGAATTTAAAGTTTAGCCATCCTCCAAAAATCCACACATTTTATCAATTTTCATACTCCCTCCGTCCCAAATTGATATGCAAAGTCAATATTTTTTGGTCAACCAATGTTAAAGTTAAATCCTCTTTATTGATAATTAATTCAATTTTTAACAATTGAAATTTACATATTGAAAAACTACATTGAAATCTCTTTAAAGTTGCAAACTCAAAATTAAATATAATTAAAATTTGACATCCTAATTAGCTGAATAAAATGAAACTATTTAACCAAGAAAAGTTAATTTTGCAAATCAATTTGGAACTAAGGTAGTATTACCGGTCATGACATTGTTTAGAAACAGTACGGTCCGGTTCGGGACATAAAATTTGAGGTCGGGTTCGATACCGTACCGGTTCAGTTCGATGGGCACTTTCCATATTTTTGCCCACACCTAAAATCAGTACAAGGGGGTACAAAAGGGCGGGAACACCGTCGTGGACCTAGAGAGACAACTGATATACAAAGGACTGAGATGTACGGTGGGAACGTCCCGTTCGACGGCAACGCAGCCTTCGCTGGAGGTGGCTTCATGCCATCTCAGGCGACTCAAACTGCTACTGATCCTTCTTATTCTACATCCAAGGTCTGTTTCTGCTGGACCGTTTTGATTATTCAAATGAGAAATATAAAAGATATATTTTGCTATCAGTTGTTTCGCTCTCTGCACCTCCTAATCCCGTCGTTTTCAGTGCACTATGGCCTATGAACTGGAGAAATCGAATAGAGATATTTGAATAATTTATTGGAAATTATTTGTCATGCTTGTTGATTTTAGAGTGGCAGAAAATAGGGTTCTGTTTTTGGCATCTATTTCTTTAGCCCATGCTCGCTTTACACAAAAATAAGAATATATTATTGCAAAAACTAAGGTAAAATCTGACGAAGAGGAGTAAAACGTAACACATTTGTATATTTTTTTTTTAAATATGACTGTCAATGTTTGTTCCTTCACACATGACTCACTCATCACTTATAAAATAAATATTATTAATTACATTTATTCATTTTAAGAACTGAATTTCGTATTCATAGCACAAAGCAATGATGCTTCTTGTTCATCACTCATGCCATGCTCCTGATTACCTTCATTTGTTCAAAAATGAATAAATTATCAGGTCGTAATTAATTTTATCTATTCTCTTTTCTTTTTATTTCTTGTCCAGAATCGAGATACACAGTCTCTGCTTCCATTGACAGTGAAGCAAATAATCGATGCCGTGCAAACAAGTGATGATAAGATAAATTTTCTAGTTGATGGTGTTGATGTCAATAATGTAGGTTCTGTGTACTGATAGCTGATAAATATATATCTTGTTTTTTCTATTATCTTGTCCTTTTTATAAATGGACTTCAACTTTGGATCATGTTAAAGGTGAAACTAGTGGGAATTGTGTTCAACATAGCTGACCGCGCCACTGATATTTCGTTTGTACTGGATGATGGAACTGGACGCATTGACTGCTACAGATGGTAAAAGTTAACAATTAAAGAAAATTATGCATTGGAACCATTTTTAGTGTGTATAAATTTGGATGGAGACATTTACATTGATTGGTTCTTTCTTTACAATTTAGCTCTTTTTACTATATATTTGTTCTAAAAGTAGGAATGTGTTGACTTTGTAGGCTGAATGAACCTTTTGACAAAACAGAAATGGCGGCTATCTCGTAATATTTCCTCCTTATAGCACTGTCATTATATTTTTCTTTGTTTCGAATTTTCATTTCATTGTTAAAATACCCTGTCATAGAAATGGGATGTATGTTAAAGTCCATGGACATTTGAAGGGTTTCCAGGGCAAGAAACAGCTAATGACTTACTCTGTCAGGTACGATAGGTCAAAATCTAATTTACTTTCATTCACTGCTATTGTTCATTACTATCTAAGTATCTAGTAAATATACTGACGTAAGTATGATTGAAGTTTCTCTTCTCTTGATGTAGAATTATTTAGTTTGTGTTCTAGTAGAAGTGCTCAAGTACAACAAGTTGAAAATAATTTTTAAAAATACATGGAGTTTTCTATTCTCCTATAAAGAAATACTTGGTTGGTTTGAGTATGCTTTTTGTGTTCCTTTGTTCTACTGGTAGTAAATCATGTGTAGCAAGATGAATATGAATTTAAAAGCTCCATGGAGTTGCCTACTTCCTTCACTTTTATGGACAAAGATGAAAGTCTCACTCTGTTTATAAATATTGAAATAGTAATCATCATTGGGTAGCTTGGATGAAAACATAAGTTTAGGACTACCAGTTTGTGGTACATAGTATTAGTGACTGCACGCTTACATTCTGTGGCTTTTCCAAATTCTGGTGCTCCCCTTCATCAGATAAATCCTGTGGTGGATAGATGGAATTTAACATTAAATAACTTACTTATATGTATTTCGACCACATATCACTCCTGTATATTTTTCTCCTATAGAACTTTATATGAATTCTGATTCTACACTTTCATGATAACGAAATGTGGATGAGCCTTGATTTTGGAACTCCAAAATATTATTGAGAAACATTTGAAATATTTTATTCCATTATTAGACCGACTCTTACACAAGCTTCTATGTGTGTTTGTTCATTTCTGTAACTTTTTCGTTTTTTTTGGTTTATTGGTCAGCTTGAAAGTTGCTATTGGACTGAAAAGTTCAACTTTGTTCGAGTTTAGTTTGGTTTTGTTGTTTCTATAATTGTGACAGTGAGTTTCAGTATAAAATAATACAAGAACCTCTGTTGTGCTTTATAAATTCATTGTTCTGCAAATTTCAGACCTGTGGAGGATTATAACGAGATTGCATATCACATTGCTGAAGCTATTTATGCTTATTGCTACAACACAAAGATAAGGGTACCCCTAATAACTAACTTCTGCAGACTTCCTCTTTGATTCAGCAGATTTTTAATATAAAGTTCCAATCTGATATAGCTTACTGTTAGTTTCTGATTAACTTTTATTTTGGTTCAAGTTTTGGAACGGCCTCTTGCCCCTTATAAACCCTGGTGATGGGACCCTTTCTCAGACCCTCATCTTGTGGGGACGTCAGTCTGCACCTAGCTGCCTTTGTTGTTGTTGTTGTTTGTTGTTCTTTGCTGTTGTTTTCCTGAAGTTCTAATCATATTCACAGAAGCTTCAAGAGAGTAGTGCTCATACTGCTGCTGCCGCTGCCGCTGCTCCTCACATGCCATATTCGAACACACCTACGAAGGGATACCAAGTTTCCCAGCAAAATGTGAGGTTATCCTTAATCACTGATCTCCATTATTTATTTGGGAATTATTAAACTAAATTTACAATGTATCTCTGGCTTTAGTTTCCTGGGTACAGCATGGATAGAATTACAGGTGTAGAAGAAATGGTGTTGAACTATTTGCAGCAGCCTTCCTGCCTGTAAGTTGTACAAAATCACAATCTATTTGCTTGCTAGTTAGAAATCTCATTTGTAGTTCTATTCATAGATGCGAATGTGTTCTACTTAATGATGGATTTGGAGTACAAGTCATCTATACGTGTCGTAATGAGACATTTTTCCCTTTTGGGCACTGTAAGGGCTTGGAGCTTGGATCAATGGATGTTTTATATGATAAAAGAAACTTGTACATGCCTTTTTATAAATACATACGGAGTAGTATAATTTTCTAGAAAACATGGTACATTGGTGATTTTGGAAAACTTGGCAAATAGATTGGCTCTTTAGTGGATTCACATAAGATTGGCAGGTGAAAATGCAATTGCTGATATAATAACTTTGTTTGTGACTCTAATATTATCCTCCTATTTCAGTGCACGGGAAAAAGGGGTTCACCGGAAGGAGCTTGCTGACCAGCTAAATGTCCCCCCTGAAAAGATATCGTAACTCTCTTTCTCCCATTTTTATATATCAGACCCAACCACAGTACCACACACATATGCAGATAAAATGCTAACTCATATTTAAAATTCTCAACCCCCCTCCCCCTAAAATTTCCCTCCAAACAGACTAGCAATTGAATCTCTGGAAGCAGAAGGGCTGGTTTACTCCACAATAGATGAGCATCATTTCAAGTCCACCGGCAATGGCTGAGAAAGGGTGTCTTCTCCAGACGTGGCCTGTGATATACTTAAGGTGTTTAGGATTTTCTTTCTTTAAGAGGCTAGCTCGTCTGTGCACAGTGCACTTGAGTTTTGGACTACTACTATGTGAATTTATGTTCTTTGTGATTCAAAGACACTAAGGCCCTTTCGTTAGATTGGTATATGTGACTCGATGTGTGGAGATGCTTTCTCCCATATTTGGATAGTGAATGTTATGAAATCAGGTCTTGAAGGCGTGTTTGGGTTGATGATTTCCCATGGGTGCAAAGAGAGGTGGTAAATAATTTCTAACCTTGAATGGTTGGAAATAAAAGAACTACATTGAATTACATGATTAGTTAATTCTAGTCTAAAAATGAAATAAGAGACAAGTTATTAGTGAACTTTAAAACCAATCCTACCCTCCGCTTGCTGTGATCCAAGGAAGCCCCAGGGAAACTGATTGAACGTAGTTGGCCATTTGCCATATTTGGTTAGTTTATGCAAGGTAAGCACTAAGAACAAACCTAGTTGTCCTTTCTTTGATGATGACATTCTTGTTTTAGGAGTAGGATTTACTAAAGATTGACCAAACCCTAGCTCAAAGTCACTTTTCATGTATTTGTATTATTGCATGTCCAGTACTAGTTGGTTCATGGTTGTACCGTTGTACGGACGATTATATTGTCAAAAGTTTGAGGAAGTTTTGGGTTATTTCTTGAAGTGAAAATCAGAACTGTTGCAATCTCCGTGCCTATTGCCATCTTGATTGATTTTTGCTCGCAATCCCCTCATTTCCGATGGCAAGATATAAAAATTATGGCTTAATATTTCATTATTTCTAGTCACACGCTATCTATGCATGTTAGCTATGCAAATATAAATTGGTCTTTTACTCTTTTAATGGAGGGATGAATTGGACGCATTAGATCCATCATTTCTGTAATTCTGTGGATATTCTAAGAGTCCGTTTTATCTCATACATGTGTTTGTTCTGAGAAAACAAACAAAAAGGAACTATTTTTGTAAGCTCGTCTCAGAACTTGTACAAATTCTAAATTGTCACATTAACTTTGAGACCGAGTCATTAACTCTAAATTCTAATGAGAGTCAAAGACTCAAAGTACAACCTCTAATATTCTAATAGATTGTGAAAAATAAACGACTTTCTAATACCTTTATTACTTGTACGATAAATCATAAACGGTGAGACTAAAATAATCTTATACACATAACTTGACCCAATACTAGACATTTCCCAAATTCCCAATTGTTGTTATATATTCATGAATGCTAGAATCAATGTCCAATCACTATAACTAATTGTACACATGAATGTTAGAATCAATGTCCACATTAACTAATTATATGGACTCATTCATGAACTGACCCCAGCCTGTTCTTGGGACTGGATCACTGGACTGTGATTGAATGATTGATATTAATGATTCGGTTGTAAGTAGGGGTGGCCTCAGGCCGGGCCAACCGACCCAGAACCGGCCCGGACCGGCACTGTTTGTACCCGGTCTGGGTGCCTGTTCAGGCCTACCCGACCCGGGCGAGTAGCGGTCCGGGCTCGGGCCTTGTAAATAATGAACCGGCTCGGCCGGTCCGGGCCAAACGACTATAATTTTTTTTAAAAAATATTTTAAAAGGCCTCCTAGCCGTTGGGACTATTCCCAAACGGCTCTATAGCCGTTGGAGGCCTAGGAGGGGGATCCGGGGGGGGGGGGGGTTTGGGGGGGGGGGGTTACCAAAAATTCCTATTTATACTCCTATTTTCTATACATTTTTTTACACCATCTTCATACAATCCTACTCTCTAATTCTCTATTCTCTCATACTCAATAACTCAAATACTCAATCTTCTCCATCTTCATCTTCTCCAATTCTCTCTACATATACATATACATATACATATACATATACATATACATATACATATACATATACATATACATATACATATACATATACATATACATATACATATACATATACATATACATATACAGAGGAATGATCATGTACATATGGATGTACGGGGGGCTCCGTACGGACAAAGCCATTAGAGGCCCTTCCGGGTGGAATTTTTTGATGAAATTTTTTGAGCATGTTCTCCATCAAGTCTAGTTTATCCATACCAAATTTCAGCTCAAAATTCGATCGGGAAGACAATCAAATAAATTCTTGAAATATATGGCGCATTCTGCGCACATATAATGTGCAGTATATTTCAAGAATTTATTTGACTGCCTTCCCGATCGAATTTTGAGCTGAAATTTGGTATGGATAAACTAGACTTGATGAAGAACATGCTCAAAAAATTTCATCAAAAAATTCGACCGGAAAGGGCCTCGGATGGCTTTGTCCGTACGGAGATTCCTGTACATCCATATGTACAGGAACAGCCCTCTACATATACATATACATATATACACACACACACACATACATACATATTATTTATATAATTTTATTATTATATCTACTTATATATTAATTATCTACTTATATATACATATATTATATTACTAATATTTATTATCTACTTAATATATACTTATTATCTTCTTAATATTTACTTTGATATCTACTTATCTATACTTATTGTTATTTACTTATATATATTAAAGTATTAAATATAAGTGTATTACTCATCTTATAGTAATATACTTATATTTTATATACTATAAACATTATATTATATATTAGTTATACAATTATATTAGTTACACTTGAATTCATAGTAATTAAATTCATCCTACTTACTTATAAACGCACACTCCCATTAATTAGTATACACATTCATTCATTTTTTCTATTACTTACATTTTTTATTAATTGTTACATTTATCATTGAAGTATAAAACTAGTTAATTGTTACATTTTTCATTTCCCTATTAGTTAATTTGTTAATTGTTACATTTCTCATTAAAGTATAAAACTAGTTAATTGTTACATTTGTCATTATAGTATTAGTTAATTAATACTTGTCACTTTTAATTTTTTAAGATTTAAAGTAGTTATTTGTTACATTTCTCATTATCCTATTAGTTAATTAATATTTAATACTTGTTGCTTTAATACTTTAATACTCAAAGTATAAAAGTAGTTAATTGTTACATTTCTCATTATCATATTAGTTAATTAAAATTTAATACTTCTTTCGTTTAATACTTTAAACGAGTTCAAGATTTAAACTACTTCATTGGCTCATTGCTACGTTTTTCAATTATTAAAAAAACTAGTTAATTGTTACATTTTAATATATTAGTTGTTATTTTAATAAGCACACTTGTTACATTTTTCATTATAGTATTAGTTAATTAATACTTGTCTCGTTTAATTTTTTGAGATTTAAAGTAGTTATTTGTTACATTTCTTATTATCCTATTAGTTAATTAATATTTAATACTTGTTGCGTTTAATACTTTAATACTCAAAGTATAAAAGTAGTTAATTGTTACATTTCTCATTATCCTATTAGTAAATTAAAATTTAATACTTCTTTCGTTTAATACTTTAAACTTGTTCAAGATTTAAACTACTTCATTGGCTCATTGCTACATTTTTCAATTATTTAAAAAACTAGTTAATTGTTACATTTTAATATATTAGTTGTTATTTTAATAAGCACACTTGTTACATTTGTCATTATAGTATTAGTTAATTAATACTTGTCTCGTTTAATTTTTAAAGATTTAAAGTAGTTATTTGTTACATTTCTCATTATCCTATTAGTTAATTAATATTTAATATTTGTTGCGTTTAATACTTTAATACTCAAAGTATAAAAATAGTTAATTGTTACATTTCTCATTATCCTATTAGTTAATTAAAATTTAATACTTCTTTCGTTTAATACTTTAAACTTGTTCAAGATTTAAACTACTTCATTGGCTCATTGCTACGTTTTTCAATTATTAAAAAAAACTAGTTAATCATTTTAATATATTAGTTGTTAGTTTAATAAGCACACTTGTTATTTGAATAAACACACTCAAAGTATTCGAATTTCATTACTCCTATTTTATTAAAGTACTTACATTCTTGGAAATTTGCTATAATTTTATTAGTTGCATTTTATTGTTACTATTGTACTCATATTAAAACATTTGATATAATATAATATTTGTTACATTTTAAAGATAGACCGTGGTAAACATTCTGTAGATATGGGTAATCTCCAACGCAATCGAAGGAAGGAGATTGCGACAACTCATCCTAGTTTATGCAAAGGCAAAGGTAAAGGGCTGGCCGAGTCTTCTTCTCAAAGTCGAGAAGATTTTGAAACGGAATACCAAAGGCGAGATGGGGATGCGATGTCCGACGAGCAACTACAACAACTATTGGCGCAAAATGATGGTCGCTTTTTCCATCAACAAAACATCCCGGAGTCCATTGACGAAGACGAGCTCGAGGATGAGGATGCGGAGGAGAACGCGGGGGGCAATGGCAGTCACGGCACCCTGGATGATGAGCAAGAGTTGGAGGACAGGGGTGGTTCATCCCAACTTGGTAAGAAATCTAAATCTTCTATTATAGAAAATAATTTTACAAAGAGGAAAGACAAAACAACCGAGAAATGGTACGCAAGTTGCAATCATCGCAATAAGGAGTATAGTTTGGGAATTTCCAGCGGATACGGGAGCCTCACAAGGCATCTTAAGTCCGCGCACTTGGTGGAGTATGCGAAAATATCAAAAGACAAGGGGAAGCAAACTCAAATATCAAGGTTTGCAAATGACCAACCTTTTGGTAATTTCTCATACAATGATGCACAAAATTTGACTGGTATGGCTAACTTACTTGTTGAAGAAAATTTGTCTTATTTGTTTTCTGAAAGTCTTGCTTTTAAAGATTATGCACAAACTTATTTAAATCCTCAATATAGAGGTTATAGTCGCAAAATGGTTAAGAAAGAAATTATAAGGCTTTATCGTGCGGAAAAGAATAGGTTACATTTTTTTTTTCAAACTTTGATGGACGTGCTACTATTTGGTCTGACATTTGGGAGGATACTTATCATAATTTACATTATTTGGATCTGACTGCACATTTTATTGATAATGATTGGAATTTGCATAAACTTGTTCTTGCTTTTCGTGAATTTAATGATCATCACACCGCTGAACATATTTATATTTTGATTGAACGTATTTTAAATGAGTATAATTTGATTGATAAGGTGTTTGCTATAGGTTTTGGTAATGCTATTAATAATACTGTTATACCTAGATTGCGTGAATTGTGTGGTTCTAATATTTTGATGGGTAGATTTTTTCTTCAACGATGTGCATGCCATGTTATAAATTTATGTGTGCAAGACGGTCTAAAAGCGTTAGGAGATGCTATGGAGGTAGTCAAGGGGGTAATTAGACGTAATTGAGGTAATGGTCAACTTAAATTAAAATGGAAAAATCATTTGACTGAAAGAGGTGTGAAATATGTTGCTTTTCCTAAAGATTTGTCTATTCGCTGGAATAGTATTTATAAATTAATTAAAGTTCTTCTTAGATATAAAGAACATTTTCCTGCTTTTTTAAGACAGTATGATAACTATATTTTAAACTCCGCTCACATTGATACTTGCGAAAAAATTGTAATGTTTGATATTTTTTAATAATGCAACTGAAAGTTTTAGTCATGTTTATAAACCTACCTCAAACGCATTTATTCGTGAAACTGTTAATCTCGCCGGTGCTTTTAATGAATTTGAGAATGCCGCTTACGTGGGTTCTTTTTGTAATTTTATGAAGGAAAAGTTTTTAAAATATTATGCACATATTCCGCATATTTATGGTATTGCATTTATTCTCGATCCTCGTTTTAGACTTGGTAATTTGGAAGAATGTTTCAAGTTCTATTATCATGCTTTTTTTGGTCCATTTCCAATGTATGACGATAACGCCATAGATCCGCAAGTTGAATACAACGAGGTTAGTAATTTATTTTATGCCTTATTTAATGAGTTCCATGCACAATCTGGCAACGCGCCCCCTCCTCGACACAAACATCTTCATCTAAAGGAAAATCACTTTTTAAATCTGCTTTTGGCAATCTTATGAAAAAAGTAAAACAACTCACACTACTGAACAAAGCGCACTTAATGAGATTTCTTTGTATATAAATTATGAGGTAGAATTTGACGAAAATGATGACTTTGACGTTCTAAAGTGGTGGAAGTCAAAAGAAAGAATGTTCCCGATTTTAGCACGGATGGCTAAGCAAGTTCTATCAATGCCGGTTTCAACAGTTGACGTGGAACAAGAATTTAGTTCGGCCGGCAACGTCCTAACGGCATCTAGAACGAGTTTGAGCGCAAAGTCTCTTGAGACGCTTATATGCTACCACGATTGGTTGAAGGCCATATGTAGAACTCAAGAAATTAGCATCACCCCCTCCCAAGACTTTATGGATGAATCAACAACCGAGGGTGGCTCCTATGCCGGAGATTCCGATTGATTAGTATTTTACAGTTTACTCCCTCCGTCCCAAAAACAACTTCCCACTTTCCTTAAATGGATGTCCCTAAATTAACTTCACACTTCAATACTTTCCTTATTTGGCAAATTATCTACATCAAAACAGTGTCAAACAGTGTTCAAACAGTGTCAAACAGTGTTTGAACAATGCAAAACAGTGCACCCAACAGTAAAGTCAAATTTATTTTCTTAATCTGTGTGATTGTCAAATTGTGAAGTTGTTTTTGGGACGGAGGGAGTATTATAAAATGTATTTCATGTTTTAATTTTTCCCTCAATTCTCTATTGTAATTTGTAAACTTGTAGTTCATATCTCTAATAAATATACATTCATTTTTTTTATATGTAGCACTTCTCAAATTAATTAATCGGTTACAAACTTACAACTTACAACTTAGAATTAATTATATTATTATTTATTAGAAAATGTATTTCATATTGTATTTTTGTTCTCAATTCTCAAATGTAGTTCCTATTTCACATAAATGCCCTTGAAGTTGTATAAATAAGTAGAGAAAGGAAAAAAAAATAGGCCCGACCCGACCCGGCGGGTGGCCTGGCCCGGAACCCGGGCGGGTGATCCGGCCCGAACCGGCACGGGCCGGGCTCGGGCCTGCTCCCAAACTTCCAAGGCCCGGCCCGGCCCGAGTCCAGGCCTAGTTAGAAGTGATTTTAATGGTCTGGTCTCTATTTGGTCCATTTTCACAATTCATTCATGGGAAACATTAAAAGAATCATATTAAAAATAGGCTTAAATACACTTTTAATCCTTGTAAATATGACATTTTTATTTTTGGTCCTGCAAAATATTTTTTGTTTTCATCCTTGTAATATGTTCTATTTTGTTTTTAATTCATCTCTAACTCCGTAATCACACCAATTAGAAAAAAATGTTATTGCCACTTGTATAAATCTGCTAGAAACCTTTAAGTTTATGTTTTTATAATTTCTTGAAGGCTAATATGAGAGTAATAACAATGTAAAACTAAATATTCACATTTTAAAAAATATGTAATAAGAACCTTCTAAAAAATAAAATTAAATATTTTTTTAATAACATGACAAAGAATGAGAGGACATCTATTAGTCAGGGTTGTTTCATTTTCAAATAGAATAATTATCATTGATGATGGACTAAAAAGAAAATCATCATAAATTTGAAGGATGGAAAATAAAAATAAAAAAAAGTTTTTTTGCGCAAATATAACACAAAATATACTATGTTTAGAGACTAAACCCAAAAAAACAATATACCAGGACCGGGACCTAACAGGGAAAGATCGAAACCAGCCCAAAACCGGAAATAGATATTCCGGTCTGAGTTCTATGCCCCCCCCCCAAATTGCCGTCAGCAAATATCCATCACCACCTCTCACTGCCAATGCCAATGGCATCAATTATGTCCACCAATGTCGATGGAAAATAATTAATAAACTCCATTGTCGTGCATTTTTTGCCTCAGAGTAAGGTTATCACAGAACCACTCAAGAATATGGACAACAATGTCTTCACTGCATGATAATTTGAATTAATTTCACTTTTGGTTATACGAGTTTTGTGCCAATTTCACCTTTAGTCCACGTCTTTCACTTTATCCACTTTTGGTACTTGACTAATGTTTTTTAACCGTTTGTGGTCCTTTTCCGGCGATTGTAACCATCAGAAACAATGCCGGAAGGACGATATATGGGCGAAAACACAATAGTCATGTACCAAAAGTGGACAAAGTAAAAGATGCGGACTAAATGTGGAAATCACCTAAAACTCGTATGACCAAAAGTGAAATTTATTCCGATAATTTCTATCAAGCTTCGTCAATGTGTAGTGCTATGACAAGTATTTAATGTCTAATGCAACACTAATAATGTGCAATTGCTCGCCATTGTTGGATTCACGATCATAAAAACCAGGAAGAAGAGCTGGATTGCAACTACTGGAATAGAAAATCTGAAATAATATTAAGACACCAATTCTGTGGAATGAAGTACATAAAAAACTTCTTGGTGGACTTGTGCTTAAGCTTCCTCCAAAATTCTAAATTTATAAAAAAACTTCGAGTCATCAAAAAAACAAAGTAGCAAAATCAGTAACACACGACAGTATATGAATATGTACATTCAGAATGTACTACCATAAACGATGATTGGAATGAAGTAGAAGACTACAAAATTAGCAGAGAACTCTCAAACAAATGGTTCATCACACTGATTTGTGACTGCTAGCCAGAAGCGCATCAGCCACCGAATCCAAATCATGAGGAAAGAAAACCCTGCAAACCCCATCCCCATGCATACAGATCCATTAGTACTAAAAGTCGAATATATTTAGGGAAGCAATGGGTGCAAAAGTAGGAGCATGTGTTGATTTAATCATGCACCTGCAAGTGTTGTGATACAATGTTTTGCTAAAATCCTCGATGTCAGCTATGCCTTTAGTGGCAGCAATGACCTCGACTACTTGCCTACAAGTTGAGATTAGTTACCCCGCTAAACACAATTGCTGGACCTAAAACATTGATATATATGTTACATCAATAGAAAGTGTCACTTTAAGTCTCATGATGACTATCAGGTCATTCATACTATTGATCTCTAACTTTCAGTTTTTTCCTCTTTTTGTTCATGGAGTATAGCTATTGCCACCTCTGGTTCTTTCTGGTCACTTATCAAGCAGAAATACAATAAATTGACTGATAAGTGATCGAGGGAATAGGTGGAAATATTTGAATCAGAAAGATGCAAGTTCATTGGTTACTCACCTAACCAAACATGGTTCATTGCGACCTTTAACGAGACATTCTTCATCATACTTGTCTTTCTTCTTAGACGACCACAAAGATTTCACAAAACGAGACCCAGCATGTGTGTTCTTGATTTCACAGTAAGGAGAATCAGTCTCAATCATCATCCTATTGATAGGAATGCCCTTAACAACCTCGATGTTCTCTTCAGTCTTCAATGAACAACCATTGACACCTAACACAGTACAAGGATTAAGCACATGCTCAAAAGGATGATGTTGAATACAGAGTTGTTGGAATGGGCTTTAAACCATCACAAAGAGACCCTTAAGAGATGATATTTCCCTAACAAAAATACAACAATCGACACCCTAAAAAATACACAGTTGCGTAATTGGGCTTAAACCATCCCAAAGGGATCCTTAAATGATGATGCTTACCTCGCACTCATATACTAAACTCAAAACCAATAGACAACATATGAGGAGTCAACATACACCCTTCACTCCAAGACGGGCTGAATATTCTAAAGGGTGGACAAACTGAACATAAAGGTGCTCCCTGAAACCATCAAGTGGGCAATCACCATTAAAAACTACCAATATATTAGACCCTGATACCAACTTAACTTGGGTTAAATCACCCAAAAGTATCCTCAGCTGATGAACTTATATACAAGACCCAGACCCAACTGTTGACTCATGTAGGATACTCAACAGGAAGCATGATATGCTAAAAAGTTGGGGAGTGAGGTGAAAAGGATTACCTATAAAAAGATTATTGAATGAGAGAAGCTTGTCTCGATCTTCTGCACTATCTGTGAAAGAGTGAACAACACCGGCACAACACCTGTAAATTATAGGAACGGATCAGGTTGGTAAACAAAAAACAACTCATACTTCAACCTGAGTAATCTCCATTAAGTGAAGAAAAACAGAACTCTTGTTATCAGTTGATTATATGACTCTCCTTCTATTATCCGATTGCAAGGTGTAACTGTAAGAAATTATTAATGCAAAAGGTTTGTTATGTTTCTTTTTTCACGAGTAACCGATCTTACCGATCATAATTCCTTTTAAATATGTCACAAAAATCATGGCCAGCTGCTCGCATGTGAAGAAACATAGGCAGCTTCATCATAGATGCTAATTCAAATTGCTTCTCGAAGTATCTGAATTTCAAGATCATGGAAAAGCTAAATCACTTAAAGAGTCACAATGAACCTTTCAGTGGGGGGTGGGAGACAAGAAACTCAACAGGAACCCACTTAAATTGCAGGGAGATTGATGTACTAGAAGGAATACATACTTCTTCTGAATATCAGAAGGGCAAAAATGAAGCCTATCATAGTCCAATTCACACTCTCCAATGGCAACCACCTTGCTTGCAGTTAGAAATTTGCACCAGTTATTTAGGATGTCTTCATTAAAATTTAATAATGCACAAAGAAAAAGACTTAGAATATTTGGTGTAATTGCAACATTCCCATATCAACCAAATGGGAAAAATCCATTTATAGCAAATCTATTTGGGAAAATTTTCAAATCACTTATAGCTAAGTTGGGTGTATACTTTGACTCTGTGTTTCTTGTGTGAATATTTGTACAATGTGATCATAGTAAACACATCAACATTTTTGGGAACAGGGTAGCTCATGGTGATTTACATGTTCAACGTATTCCCTCTCATCTTCAATTGGAAGATATCTTCACCAAAAAATCATTTTATCAGCACATTGAATTTCTTAAACACAACCTGCATGTGGTTTCCCTCCGCACAGATTGGGGGGTGCCATAGAGGATAATTAATGTTATTTTGTAATATCAGTAGTATATATGCTCTTTTGCAATATTATGTATTAATATCACACTAAAGCTGATATTTGGTGTCAAGGGGCCCCTAAATACAGGAGCCGCATATCGTATTCTTCACTTCAAAGTTGAAGCCATTTCAGAAATATAAACTAGAAAAGATGTACAAGTTAAAGTTAGCCGAGAACGATGATGCACATGCATCTCTAGCTTCTTGGAAAACGAATGAATCTTCTTACAAGCCAGGAAAAAGTGCACACCTTTCCTTTATGAACGCCCTCCTTAGCAAGTGATAAGAGTGCTTGAAAATGCTTTTCTGGGTCCCCACTCTCATCAAATTCCTGAATGAACACATGAGAAGAAAATGATTGCATGTCTGACTAAGTTATTATACAAAATTAAAAGACCATCGATGTTGACAAAACCTACGTTGCATCTTGTCGGGTGCACTCCTACTGTACAGAACAGTCTAGCTGCATAAAAGACCGCTTTAATGATTAGCTACATTATGACATACAATTGAGAATGGTTGTAAAAGAAACAATATAAATGGCGCAAGGGTGACCATCTGATTCTGCAATCGCAAGAGCTTCCTTTGATTCCTCAAGTGAGCTGCCAGTAACCTATAATATTTTTTAAAGAATAGTCTGTCTTCATGTGAAACAAACTATATTGATCTTCCAACAATCATATCTTGTTTAGGAATAGAAGAAATAATCATATTCCAAACATCGTCTCTCATCAATACAAACACTAGAAGAGCTTCCTCCGTAATGACATAAGATTTAAGTTAAGCAGGATTTGTTTGGCTGACAGTAAAGCATGGCGATTTGGAAAAAGTTTTGTTTTGGGTCTGTCCTTTTATATAAAGCTTACAAATGAAGGGGAGACTTGGCGCACCAGTGTGTTGTTGTGTGACCAAGAGGTCATGGGCTCAAGTCTAGGGAGCGGCCTCTTGTCAAAAAATTGCAAATGGGAGGCTTGCCCCTTGTATCACTCTAACTTTTGAGCGGTTCAACATAAACGAAAACATAACCTATGCAGCTAGAAATCCAAACACAGACTGTCAGGTTTCAACTCGTGTTACCGTTTTCCTTTTCCCTTTTTCTACATGCCTTCTCTAGTGAGCTTTGAATTGTCATCTAAATGATCTAGTCAAATACAAGTTACAATAAATTGCAGCACTTTTCACTCTCTGAGTCTAAAAAATGAAGATCTCCTCTTTCCAGCATTTGTTGTTTGGAGGACAGCAAGCATAAAACATCAATCTCTCTTCTAGTTAACGGGTGTGGGTAGGCGAGAAGAACTGAACTTACTATGATTCTTTCAACCCCGGCAGCCCATGCTCGCTTCAGAACAGCTTGAATATCAGCAACATGATACTGTTTCCCATTGTATATTCCTTTGAGCATGCTATCTGAAGTGTAATTTCACTCCATGTATAGGTTAAACAGGAAAGTAATACGTAAAGAAAAACTAAAATAAGAAATGCGCATTTGAAGTGGCTTTGGAACTCCACTGACCTGTAAAGTTGACTGCAATATCTGTTTCATTCGAGAAAGATAGATGGCATCGTCAGATATTCAGAGAAAACGTTTCAATCAAAGTAAAGTTTTGTGTAAATGAAATAAGAATAATTGAGTTGATAAAATAATTCATCAATATGAAAACGAATATGAATTCAAATTACTTGCCTATCATTCGTAGAGTAGCCATGGTAGATGCCTTCGAGAAGGAGAAGGTTTCGAGTTCCAATTTAAAACTTGGGTTACTATTCTCGTTCTCCATTAACATCGCGAAAAAGTGAAGTCCAGGATTTCCAACAGTTGGATTGTCTATTTGGACAAATTCTATCTTACTCTAAAGGAAGGCTCCGGATCCACTCTACATTCCGTCAAAAAAACATCTACGCTATACGGTTAGACAAATTCTCATTTACACCGCCCCAATCTAATACGGAGTAATTCCTTCGAAAGTTCCAAATATATATCCAATAAAAGTAGTAAAAAAATATGTGATAAGATAGTTTTAGTTATTATAATTGTATAATGACGCATCATACTCACTATATTAACATATTGTCATATTTTATCCATAAGTAATGTTTTATGAAACACTTCCTTTTCTACTCCATAGAAAACAGTGGTACATAATTTTTTTAGATCTCAATCACATAATTTTTTTTTGCGTCCTCTTAAAGATATATCATAACCAGTCAAATTTTATACCCCTCTCCTAAAAAGTCGGTCATGACTTTTTTAAGTCAACAGTAGTCAACTTTGAGTATTGATATTTTTCAATACAAATCATTTTACATGTGAAAATTATATTAAAATGTTACTTATTAAAAAAAATTCATAAGAGTATAAAATTTATAAATTATATGTAAATATAATAATTAAAATCGTTATCCAAACTTTGCTCCCATGGACCATGAAAAATCAATATGACAAACCTTTTTTGAGTGGGCGTAGTACTTGGTAATTCGTATTACTTTACATGAATGGTGTAATAAATTGAGAGTACGACCCTTACAATTTAAATGTTGGATTAAATTATATTTATTTTGGTTTATTTAAGTTTTAAGTGCTTACTTTTATCCAATAAGGAGAAACTTTTAAGTGGAAATGAGAATGAATCTCAGTCATTAGTTTTCACAATTTTTTAGTAAAAGAGAGTTCATATTGCAATGGAGTATGTAACTATGTAATAATGTGTGGTCGCATTTTTTTTAAATACTTTTGGGAAAAAACGTGTTACTCCTCCCTAGTTCAATATGAAACTATTTTGGTACATTATTGTCAAATGGTAGTTCAACACAAACCTGTGTTAATGTAAAATTGCAAAATAGTACAACATGAAGCTTGTTCTAGTGCAACATCGTAAATCTAAGGAGTGATATTCATTCTCATTTCGATCTGTTTTAGCTTGTTTGGTCAGGTTTGATCGGGTGATTTTTATTTGATTGTTATTTTTAACCCAAAATTATAAACCGCAAATTGAATCCATCGAAAGATTAGACTGTTTCTGGGGGTTTCAGTTTTGATCAGTTTCGATTTTGATCGATTTGATTTTGGGTTTGGTTCTTTTGTTCACCCATGCACATATGACATACGTGCCACAACTTAAGCCCTTTAATATCCTCCTTTTTTCATCATCCAGGTGTTGGAGCTTATGCTCTCATAATCATGGAGTCTATAAACTACCCTCCGAAGCCCCTAGATAGGTAAATCGGATCTGATCACAATCAACATAGTTGGTACTGGCTCTAAAGGACGAATTCAGCAGGACTTACATCACATGCCCCTTTCAGACTGCTCCTCCCATCACCAGGGGCGTAGCTAGGGGAGGCAAACTCTGGCCCCGACCCAGGCCAAATTTTAAAAATGTCTCTATTTTAGTGTAAAAAATCCTTGTAAAATTTTTTGAAAAAATATTCTTGGCATCAGTCCAATCCGGCCTAGTACTCATCACACGAATCAATTACCTTCATTACCATCTTTTGCCTTCTCGGCCACTGAGCTACTCCGTAAAGATAGGAAATTTCATGGGGACATGACCTCCTTCATCTCTCCTAGGTAGGAATTGAACTCAAATCCTCTCACAACAAAAGACTTGGGGGTGAATCCATGGATGGTCATTTGTTTGGCTACATCCACCTTCCTTCATATCCTCCTTTTATGCCAAGATAGAAGCTAGGAAGGCCTATATTTGTTTCAAACACGCACTAGCATACCAAAAAAACAACTAAAGTAAAAGCTTGGCATATAAGAGGGATCATAACGACAGAAAAAAAAAATACTCCTTTTTGGCGAGGACATAAATCATAACGGCAGTAAAAGTTTGATATTTTTTTTGAAAACCAAATAAAAGTTTGATATTTGGGAGGACAAAAATCAAAAGTTGAGTATATAGATTTTGCCAATGCATATACTTAAAATTTCAGATCTTCTTTTTGTTGAGTTGTTACTTACTCCGTATAATAAAACGATAGTAATAAAATAATAGAAATATTATCAACATGCAATGATCATTAACAACTTTTATTATCATCCAAAACATTCATCTCAGCTCCGTGGAGGTGCTTTATGATAAGGTGATGGTACCGCACGGGTAGCTCAGTTGGAATAGTGGTGGGAAATTTGGACAATGACCAAGGTTCGAATCCCCGCAGCGACCGGGTGGAGGTCACAGAACCTGAAATAAGGCTGGACCTCTGGTGCGCACGGGCGTATGACCTACTGCCACTTTGCTGACTGAGTCACCGTGACTTACATCCTCCCATATGCTCTGTCGGGTCGGCAGGTGGGGGGCGCTTGGGGTTGGCGATTCAACTTTTTTGGACAATGATAAGGTGATCAGGTGATGGTTAATAGTTCAATCATGTCTTGTTCTTTTGTACGGATAGGGGTCACGAAGATCCAATAATGCATTATTTTTTATAAACATTTTTTCCGAATAAAAATAGGTGTACACTAAAAGCGTGTAGACCCCTCTATTTTGCATGTTAACATAAACAATTTATTTAAAAAATTCAAAAATATAAAATGTATATTCACTTTTTTGTGTACATTAAGAATTATATTTTCGGGCAGAGGGTGTGAAAGGACAATATTGGAATGAAAATAAGAGATAGTTATGCTTGTTGACTAATATGTAGCCTTCATTTTTTCATTTTGGCATTCTAACAAGGGTTGTGCTTGATGTATACATTTTTTGTACATTTGTCTGTCTCACGTATACAGAGTTTTTTATTCGCAGACGATTCTGTAGTGTTGTTTGTGAATAGTGTGCTGTGTGCGTGAGATAGACATGTGTACCAAAGATTATACTACCTCCGTCCCTTAAAACTTTGTCAAGTTTGATTGTCACGGAGATTAATAAAGTAAAAACTGTGTGGTAGAGGTTTGTGCAGAGGAGAGAGAATTAACAGGAACCACAAATTTTTTACTTAAAAAGGAAAGTGACAAAGTTAGTGAGACATCCAAAAAAGGAAAGTTGGCAAAGTTTTAAGGGACGGAGGGAGTAACAAAATGTTTACATAAAGCCTTTTTTTCAACAAACACCTACCCAATTTTGGGTTGTTTAACAAAGAAATGAAGAATCCTTTGGTATTAACATGTGTTGACTTTTTTCTGGCTCTTTGTTGACGCGTTCTGATCTTCTGTTACCATTGTATTCCGTCTGTCCAGTTCATATACTCTTCTTCTTCAATCATCTCAGCTCCTTATCTGCTCATCCATTAAAAATCTTCGACTGATTGATTGATTGATCTTCCGCACCATTACTTGAGCGGGAGACGAATATATATTCAATTACTTCTCATTGAATAAAAATTATGAATGATCTTTTCTCTGGATCTTTCCTTCGTCACCGGGACGATCAAGCGTCCGATTCCCACTCGATCGAGATGACCGGCGCCGGCACCGGCGGAGTGAATCTCGACAAGTTCTTCGCCGACGTCGACGCGATTAAGGAAGATCTCAAGGATCTCGACAAAATCTACAGCAGTCTTAACAGCTCCCACGAACACAGCAAATCTCTCCACAATGCCCGGGAGGTGAAAAATCTCCGGAAAATTATGGACGAAGGCGTTTCCGGCGCGTTGAAGAAGGCCAAAATCGTCAAAGTCCGGCTCGAGGCGCTGGACCGGTCAAACGCGGCGAACCGGAGCATCCCCGGTTGCGGTCCGGGGAGCTCGACCGACCGGACCCGGTCGTCGGTCGTGAGCGGGCTGAGGAAGAATCTGGTGGACTCGATGAACCGGTTCAACGAGCTCCGGCAGAAGATGGCGGCGGAGTACCGGGAGACGGTGCAGCGGCGGTACCGGACGGTGACGGGGGAGGCGCCGGAGGAGGCGGTGCTGGACGATCTGATCTCGACGGGCGAGAGCGAGACGTTCCTGCAGAAGGCGATCCAGGAGCAGGGGAGGGCGGAGGTGATGGGGACGGTGGGGGAGATCCAGGAGCGGCACGCGGCGGTGAAGGAGGTGGAGAGGAGCCTGAAGGAGCTGCACCAGGTGTTCCTGGACATGGCGGTGCTGGTGGAGAGCCAGGGGGAGCAGCTGGACGACATCGAGAGCCATGTGAACAGAGCGAACAGCTTCGTCAGGGGTGGGACCCAGAATCTGCAGGTCGCCAGGAAGCACCAGAAGAGTACCAGGAAATGGACCTGCATCGGAATCATCATCCTGCTCGCCGTCATCTTGATCATCGTTCTCTCCGTTCAGCCATGGAAGAAGAAGAAGAACTGAATGCCTTCTGGATTCAGAATTGGTCAAAGTCAAATATGCTGGCTCCCACAATCCAACTCATTTTAACTCTTCCCCTTTTCTGTAATATAACTGTTTCTTTTTTTTTAATCCTTCACATTTTTAAATACCGGAGCTATTTTCGATGACTCCATACAGACTGAGACATACAATTATTAAAAATTGTAGATATACGGAATATTCGATATGTATTGAGTTGGAAAAGTTGAAATAAATTAAGGGTTGGTTTGCAAACGCTTTAAAAAAAAGTATTTCTCGATTTTTGGCTTTAATAAAACACTTCTTTTATCAAACACTATACTCCCTCCGTTCTTTAATAAAAGTCTTCTTTCCTTTTTGGGACGTTTTTTTTTTATTTGTCCTCCTTTCCATTTAAGGAAAGTTTTTACTTTAAATATACCTTTATACCCCCACTTTTATTACCATTACCCCTTTCTCTTTCCTACTTTTTCATTTACCCACTACTCATTACACCTTTTACACTACCCCTACTATTTTCCTCTTAAAACCCGTGCCAAAGCCTAAGAGGACAGATAATAAAGAACGGAGGGAGTAACTTTTATTTTTCTCGGCTTTTGTGTCAAAAGTGTTTTTACTTTTTCTATTACATAAAAAACACTTATTTTACCAAACACCACCAACTTTTACTTTTCAAAATCACTTTTTTCTCAAACA